CAATCTCGTTCCCAGGGTCCTCTCTCTTCCTCCCTCAAGAAAGTACCCTGGTTGCGGCTGGTCACGACTCTGCTAGATTTTTGCAGATTCCAGAAAAATGATTGAAGGGAGGGGCAGGACAGTTAAAGTTTGTCTCCACTGAGCTCACCCACTGAGTCCAATGGGGAGCGAAATTTGTAACCCTCCCGTTGTGGATCGGTCAAACTCACAGCGAAGGCATTGACACATTCGATATTGAAGTTAAATGCATTCAGTGTTCGGCATAAAGGTTAGCTCTGCATTTGGCTGAATTTTCCCCATCAATAGTTGGACGGTCTTTGGAATTTGTGGCGGTGAAAAAAAATGGCAAAGAACTTGGAAATGACGACCACAACAATAAATGAACCGCGCGGTAAATTTAATTTGATCATTCGGCAAAATCACAACGTAGGTATTTACTAATTCGTTTAGAGTTAAATACCTCGTATGTTCGCCCGCAAAGATAGTTTTGAATTTGATTGAATTACTCCCATCGACAGTTTGCCGGTCATTCCATTCTCTTGCGGCGAAAAAAAATTACGAAGAACTTGACATCAACAACGACTGCGTGCTGAATACTAATAAACTTGATTAAGCAGCTTATATTTTTCGATCGGCAAAATGACAACGGCGGCATTGACCCCAGTGTTTGGCCAATAGACTAGCTTTGAATTTGATTGAATTCATCCAAACGAAAGTTTGACGAGCATTCGATTCTCTTGCTGTGAAAAATTTTATGAAGAACTTGACAACAACGACGTCGGTCGCGCTTTTGCAAAATCCAACGGCTTTCGTTTTAAAACTGTTTTGCGGTAAGTCCAATTTTCGGTCAAGAAACAAGCTTCTAAATTAGCTGAATGCATCCCGTCGATAATTTGACGGTTCTTTTGCTGTGAAAAGCTGATTAAACTAATCCGAAGCAGGCTGTTGACGGTTTTTAAAAAAGCAGTGAAAAATAAGTAACGTTCCCTCTCAGTTAACATCTCATACTCATAGAAGTTCAGATCATAGCGACGAAGCATTGGTCAGGCAGGATCTCTGACAAACAACTTGCTTCACTATCAAAATGACGTCTGTATAGCAGCGCAACATTCTCCTCCTTAGACGGAGTTGACAAAATTAAGTTGAGGACCCACCCTCTGTGCGGCTTTGGTTGGCACACGTAGACGCGTGACCAGCCGCAACCGGGTGGGAACGAGGTTGGTTCAGTATATGAAGTATTTATCTGATTTTCGCCCACTATTTCATAGTACGCAAAAGTTGGAGTTCATTTATTCTGCTATCCTTAAGCAACGGCTATAGCTAGTTTTGCGATAACGGTGGTTTTTATTATCCGAATCTCTGAAAAAGACAGGAAAGAGAAGAGTTTAACAGAAACCTAACCAAGGTGAGAGCAAATAGCTTTGTA